GATTGCATTACAATAAGCCTCAGCTTTGTCGGGGTCTCGTTTCAACTTCCTTAAGATGCGTCTGCGTCGTTTCACAGCTTGGCCATAATATTTCCCAATGACTGGTGAACTTTCTTCCACGGAGTTTCACCTCATAGTTTTCCCCATCAAAGTTTAGCCCCTTAGTGACATGGTTGGATTCTCAGCTTTGGTTATGCCCATGGATACCCGTTCCCAGAACCATTTTAAACTTGCAGTGACTTCGCTGTTCTCTAAAATTATCAGCATTAAAGAGGTGTATCCTGAACTAGATTCTGCGGGTTCCGATCCAGCAACTAGTGACTCAGCAGTTGCCCCTCTCACACATATCCAGCTAATAACGAAAGAGAAGTAGTGATCTGGACCAACAAGGACACCGACTTGCGAAGGTAGAAGTCGTACTAAATTGCGAAGGTAGAAGTCTGCAAAAGTCACCGATCCAAGAGGATTGCAGATGTTAGGTATGGCGAGAGCGTCCACTTAAGAGGCACTTTTAGTGTCTACTTTGATAGGCGAAAGGGCAAATATTACTCTTTGTAATCTCTTAGTCTCACTGTTTTGTCCCCTTTCTCTCCTTACGTTGGGTCGCTATTTTAGTTTGTTGGACCTTGAAGCGTGAGGGTTCTGCAAATGCCTTTCGTATGTATGAGCGCTGGTTATCAGGTTCAGATTAGACCCACACAGACACTTCTTGACTTTAAACAAGTAACCTGGCTAACGCAGTTTGTAGAAGACAGGTGTAGCAGGTTTCGTAGCAGCCAATCCACGTAGCTATAAGATAGTTGTGTTTTGATTTTGAGATGATATAAAATGATTTGGAGTCTTTGGTGTGGTTTCTTGGGGCTGACCATATCATCCAATAACTTGCGATGTCGACGGCTGCAATTCGTAGCTGAAACTTTAGAGTGGCGACAGATTTGGGAGAAATGCTTGTGGCTGGTAGGCTTTACCCAATTGCGACGCAGCTTGCTTTCTTTCTTCCTGCCAGAAGGTCATGTTTGGAATAAACGGCTGGTATCTCGTGTAATGCACGGATAAGAGCTATGGAGTCCAGTAAGTGATGCACGTAATGTACGGCTTCAGTTGAAGGTTTCAAGGCCCTCATATTTTTTATCCAAAATCGTTAAGGACGTTTTTCTTGTCTATCGTGGAGGTTTCTTTGCTGCAGTTGGATTTTATCAATGTCCTTCCTCAGAAGTATCGTTGCGTGTTGGTAGTGTGACCACTAAAACAAGTAATCCTCTATCGTGAAGGGATAAGATACCTGTGCTGTGAACTGGGATAATTCTGTCATAATAGTGGTGATTGCGTTAATCTCTACATCAGTCTTTAGAGGACAGGAATACGGTCATTGTATGACAGGGATTAGCTTTCACCTGGAACTTGGTCATAACATTGGTGTGGTCCTTTTTCTGATCGAAGCTTTCAGTCCTCTATTTGCTGATCGTACAGAATGTCGAATTATTTTGGTTTAAAGTAGTCTTCAATGAACAACACATGTTTACTTCAAGACGCCATCTTTCACCAACAAGAATCTTGCACGCAAATGCTACATTATGTCCATAACCCTTAAGCATCTTACTCGCTCACGCTGTGCAACACCTTTCCGGAGGGGGTCACGTTCCAGAAATATCTGGGGGTCTACATTACCAGCTTCCTCAATTGGACCAAGCAAATCTGGAGGTAAAGGAGAAGGCAAACAGGCTTCTTGGAGTACTTCAAAGGAACTTGACATTTTGTTCTCTTGCTATTAAGGAACGGGCTTATTTGAGCCTTGTTCGTCCGGTAGGTGAATACGGATCCGTTGCCAGGTCCCCTTACAAGCCGAAAGACATCAACTGTGTGGAGTCTGTTGAAGGTCGCGTGGCACCTTTTGTAAGCAGTGACCATCGCCGAACCAGCCGTGTCAATGCCATGATATCAAACCTGGGGACCTTGCGTCACGTAGAAGGATCTCTGATTGACAATATTTTTTAAGATCAAGACCGGCAATGTTAGGATACCATTCCCAAATTACGCGAGTCCGAATTTTCCCATAATACGCGAGCTAATATGCAGCATCTAATCCAATTTCAACGTTTTTCGTCTAGCGTTAATACCCATAAGTACTCTTTTTATGTCCGAACTGCCCCAACATCTTCACCCTATCGTCCGAGAGTATAAAATCTGGGTAAACGAACAGATTATGAGAAGACTGACCAAAGATCTACAGTGATGTTATGACACTGCGTCATCTCAAGCTAAGCCTAGATTCTCTCTAACTTCGAGGGATGGTCTTATAATTCACTTAGGCCTGGTCGCAAGAATAGGTGATACAGTGGGTACTGGAATGTCTCCTTTTGTAGAGGGAATGTCCTTTCGAACAGGTGTTGCAGCTTTGTCCAATGCGGAAACTTGGTACGCTATTGTGGTGTCGAGGTGCCGATACTGCCTCGATGACTTTTCCTGACAGCTGAAGGTCCTTGACGAAAACGTCTGTACCCGGTTCAGTTAAAGGCAAGGGCTTGGCCTTGTGCCTGATGTTGAACACTATTTCCTGCTTCAACTTGCTCATGCTCTCTCGTGCAGGCATGTTTTCTAAGTCAGGCCACTGTGGGTTCAGCTGGGTATGAAATGCTGGAACACTGTTCCTTATCTGCCCTCCCATCAGTAACTGGGCAGGAGAGAACTTGCATGCTAGTGCTGTTGATCTGTTGGCTAGTAATGCTTTAGCAGGGTCTCTTTCCTTTGTCAGAAGATTCTTCACTAACTCCTCGCTCAACTTCTCCATTTATTTGGGAAAATCTAGATTACTTGTGGTATGCCTGAATCCCCGTTCCTTAGCAAAATAGGAAAATTCTGCACAGTCGATGTGAGATCGCACTTGGTCTGAAATCCCTTGAAAGACAAAGATCGACTGCTCTAATAAACCCACTTGACCATGTAATCCTCTGCATAGCTACTACTCCCACGTGTCTTGGGATGTAATCTATAGTCGATGTCTTTCAGCTTGAAGAGGACGGTGGCTATGACTTGCCAGGGACGGTGTCGAGATAAGCGGTTCGGGCTTGTTGTCCCTTTGTAGAGTTCAAACTTTGTACTGTTGCACCAGATCCTGGATTTCTCTGCTGACTCTTGTCCACCACTTTAGCCCGCTTGCGCTATTAAGTGCTTTCTTGGTGCCCTTCATGGATCTTATCCAGTATCTCAAGGCGTATGGAAGAAGGAATTACAATCCTGGATACCTTGAGCAGAGTGTTGACCCCTTCTTGACCAGTAGGGTTTAATAGCATCGTTTAATGAATACTTCTCAGGCCATCCTTCACAGCAGTACACTTTGATCTGTCTACAGACAGGGGTTCTCCTCCTGTGCTTCCATGATCTGCTGTAGTCTCGCGTCTGAGGCAAGCAGTGATGAGGTCACGCTTCTGATGTGTGCATTCATTTCTTCAACGTCAGTTGTTGACTTCACTGTTTAGCTTCGGGCTTGGAGTCTTGAAAGCGCATCGGCTATGGACATCTTCTTTCTTGGAACATGGTTGAGTTCTTTAAAGTGGAATCTCATCCATCGCATTCTAAATCTTTCGATCCTCGGCGAAAGTTGGTCCACTGTACGAGTACTCAGGAGTGGCACTAGAAGTTTATGGTCTGTTTCTGCAGAGATCGATGTTCCCACGATGTCCTCCCAGGATCGTTCGCATGCCCATGTGAGTACTAAAACGTTTTTTTTTTCGATTTGTGCGTATCTGGTTTCAGTGGGAGCCATCACTCTCAATATGAATGAGACGGGTCACCAGGAGTTGTCAGGTTAGAGTTTGAAAAAATGGCCTAGGCCAAAGGAAGAAGCGTAAGCTGCCACTTTGGTCTCCTTGTTCGGATCGTACAGCTCCTATACTGGAGATTTCATATCCTAAAATGCTTCTGTTACTCGGTCACTTCCCCATGTCCATTGGTTCACTTTGTGAAAGAAGGTCTCTGATACTTCTTGTGTCTTCAGCGAGGTGCTCAGAAAACTTGCTTAGTTGGCTCACCATGTCAAGAAATTTTCTCACTTCTTTTATGTTCTGAGGTGGCGGTAGGTCAGCAATTACTTGCAGCTTTTCAAGATCCGCCTCAATTCCACTGAAGCTAATGACGTGTCGAAGAAACTGTCACGTCTGCCCCAACCAGACGCTTGAGTACTGCTTCTAACCTTTGATTACGTTCATTTTGGTCTTTGCCATGGACTAAAATGTTATCTTTATTGTACTCCACGCCGTCTAATCCTTCGAGATCTGACTTATATTCTTCTGGAATTTCTTTGAACCAGAGCTGATTCCTAAGGACAACACGTTGAAATAGAAACGGCCCCATGGAGTAATGAATGCTGTCAATGGTCTTGATTCCCACGCTAGCTTCATCTGCCAAAATCCCGTCAAGTTTACAGAACACTCTTGAACCTACTAATCTGCCGAGAGTTGTGTGTACTGCTGGAAGCGGGTGGTTCTCTCCCTTGACTTACTCGCTTAGCTTGCTAAGATCCGCACAGACTCCGAATATCGCTTTTGGGCGTCACCACCATGGGAGCGCACCAATCAGTGCGTTGGTAAACTCTGAATACGACATGAGTAGCGTGGTGGTCCCGCTGAGCTGATGGAGCTGTTTACAGACTGTGAAACAGGCTAGCTGGAATTACTGTTACATAAGCGCTGGTATCCAATTTAAATTCTGCTAGCGGTCCATTGATTGAGACTTAAACTTTCCATGAATCCCTTGTACTTCCTTGGACAGGAGATAGTTCAGTGAGTTCAAGCACGAAGAGCTCTTCTTCATCGTGTCTTCCAGGAAAATTCACTTCAGCCACTCTCTTGTCTGATTGAGATCTGCAGGCCTTTGTCCAATGTCGCACTTTGGAACACTTGTTAGATTTTGATTTCCTGGCAGGACATTATGTCCTTGGGTGTGATTGACCCAGGCACCTTGACCATTGTGCTTCAGGAGTCTTCCCACTTTTAGGCTTGGGGTTTTTTTTTTGCTTCTTCATATCTTCTTTAGAATCCTTTCCCTTTCCTTTGGATAAACAGTCCACATGAGCTGGTGGTGGGTCGGATTTGGCTTCTTGTAGAAATGTTTGCTGCCTCTTAACTGTCTCCGACTGCCTGGTTTTTGTAATATCTTTCTCTAAAGTCAACTTAGAATCCAGTTGCACTTGTTCAGAGAGCTTTTTGTCTTTTATCCTTACTACGATTCCATCTCGCATGAGATCGTCTCTTAGTGTTCCAAATTCGCAGTATTCAGCAAGACAATACAAATCTGTTATGAAATTATCTACTGACTCACCAACTTGTTGACTTCTTAGGTTGAACTTCGCTCTTTCAAATATTACATTTCTCTTTACCACGAAATGAACTTCAAACGCCCTTTACTGCTTCGCTTCTTCAGTTGTTGGTCTGAATGAAACTACGATGCCGTCAGTCAGTTCACTTCCATCCTTTTGGTCGAGTCCAGTCGCTTTTCGAAATCGTTCGAAACGCTTGATCCAGCGGGACTATTCTTCGTATTTAAAGTGGAATGTTTCAGTTGGTGGAGCTCGGTAACTCGCTATGGGTATCTGTTGAACCGTGGACTGCTGTGCAGGGCGGCGACTTGTGGGCGCCAGCTTTGTTGGGCTCTTCAACTACTTGTGGTTGTTCAGCTTGAATTCCGGCTTCGTTTGGAGCTTGGTCTCCCTTATTTACGTTTTTTTTTCTGATTCTTCTTCGGTTTAAAGGCTATTGGGAATTTCCCCGCTGTCGCCATGTCGAGTTATTTGGGTTTAAACTAGTCTTCAGCGAACGACACGTGTTTACTTCGAGAAACCATCTTAAATAACCAACATCAGCATCTTACACGTAACTAACTTAAACACTTCAGGTAAGCTAGCACAACACAGGGTACCCCCTGTTACACCACGGCCAGGTCTTTCTGTAGGGTCATTACGGCAGTTGTAACATTCTTCTCCAATAGCTGAGCGTTGGTGACCTATGATGTGGATGTTATCTCCTTATCTTAAACACCGCCATGGATTTTTGTCTGACCTTCTGCTTCCTCCTCTGCTGTAGCTCCCTTGGTGTGGCTCTAGTTCCCTGATTTTCCTCCTTTATATTAAATACTTTTCTCCTCGCCAACTACTTGGTTAATGTGGGGAAGGTTACTCGTTGAGAGACTTCAAACCTGGGTGCCATTTCCTTTGCTCTTGTGAAGGTTAATTCATTTCCTGGGCAATACGTTCTCTTTTGAGCACTTCAGAGTAGACGCCGAAGACTTCTGCGTTGGGCACAAGTCTGTATAGAGAATCGTGTAGGTACCTGAACCTCTGGAAAAGTAGTCTTGCAACAATTTCCAGCCATTATGAGCGCGTTTATCATGTTTAAGATATGCAGATAACTACTGACCCTTTATCAAGCTCCTTTACAGTCTTCGTATACGAATCTTGTCCAGTGTTACCGTGTTTCCGATCCTTCTGTTGTTTGTCTGTTAGCGGTCAGGTGTTGAATGGATTCAGACTAGAGTCACCTCACCACACATGTTTCCACTTCTGATCGCTTTCTCATATTTGCACGATTATAAAATATTCGATATTACCGCTAAAAGAATGGTCGAAAAACCGGCAACAATTTAAAATTTGAAACATGCCCTTCTTTCTCTTGCTAAACCATCAAAACAAATGCAAGAATCCAGGGAACAAAAGTATTTCAAAATCAGTCTAGGGCGGATGATTGTTTAAACTGGTACGCTACTGTCTCATCTGCTACTGAATTGAATTTGATGAAATCGGACCACATTTTATCTTCAACCATGGTACTTCAAAACAAACTAAGCGTAGTCCAATTTAATTTTCAAATTCATAATTATCAGTTCTGTTATCTCGCTGCACTTGATAAAAAATGTTATATGTGAATTTATTTTTTTGTTATTCTCGCCGAAGATAACGGTAGCGTGTGGTCTTAAATAAACCAACTAATGCGTTCAAGACAGAAACGGGAATTCAAACTTACTTAAGTTATTTTACGTGCCTGTGGGTGTCAACAATTGCGGTTAGGTATTCTGTTACTGTTGGCGACTTTTTCCAACGTTCCTCATCGAAACAGTACAGCTCATTAATCTTGGCTAAGATATCTTACGCTTACCTTTATGTGACCCAAGGCTTGCGCGATTATCTGTGAGAAAAAACGTCGAAATGACACAACCTGAAAACAGAAAATAGAAATGTTGAATTTTTAGTAAGAGATAACCATAACTAAGAAGAATTCAATGTGGTTATTTTACAGTCGAAAGATTGAATCATGAGTTAATAAACAATAAACAAATTTCTTTTGTCTTCTTCCGCGATGGACTAATATCAAATCGCGGTTTCAATTTTAGTCATCATGATTATATCGAAACGATTGGGGATGCGAAAAATACTAAATATTAAATAACAGAATCGCAAGCTACCCATAAACTTATTTGATACTTACTTGTCGCCGATCAAACCGTAATGGAAAAGAATTGTTCTACGTTATCAAGACCAATGTTTTGTCTGTGTGGCGAACAAGAACAGAACAAGTTTCTAAAACAAAAGTCATTAAATTCTAATTTTTATGCTAACAGGCAACGCTATTTCCTAGAGCAGTTTGTTTAATCGTCGATTTGTCCAATGGAATGAAGTGTTCCACTCTCGTTTTGTTTTGTTTACCACGGTTTGCTCTCTCACTTGAGAAAAATGACTCTCTGGTTCCACTGAGTAATAAAATATTGAGTAACAAAATGTCGAGCCCGCTTTTATTGCAAAAAGCAGTTAATTTTCATGAGTTTTTGACAAAATATTTATCCCATTAAAGTTTCCGGCACAAAATTACAATTTCAAATTTTGTGATACATTTATCCCTCAATCATTTCATACTAAAACACAAAAGATAGATTCAACTGATTATAAATAATGATGTGAGTTCTCAAACGATCATCTAAATGTGAGAGATAATCGTTCTCCAAACTGAGCCTTAACCCGTAGAATTTGCCTTTGATTATACTTACTTATAGGAAGTCTATTTATACTGTCATTATGGTGAAAGTGATGATTTTGAAAACATCTCAAGGAACAAATTGTACATGAATATGCATTTAATACTGATTAGCAAGCACGAGAAACGTGTTCGTTTTCCCTTTTCGTTTTGATTTTGACGACAAGCTGTCGCTCTCTTCTCAAGTTGTCAAGCAAGACACTGCCACGAGGTGGTATTTAGTGCTTCAGGGCGCTTGTGTATGTAGCTCGTGTAGATGTCAAGATGTTTCCATTCTTGGCGACCATTATGAAGTCGACAGTTGAATTTGATTGTGAATAATTATTTAAATTATGTCAGTGAGCCGGCGGCTGAGTGGATCGTAAACAGTCCGTATTTGTCTGCATGTTTTGTGGTGTAGCATATAAACCAGTCGATAAGAAAACTGGGTCGTCTGGTAATTAACCTGAAATCAAAAACGCCTGATCGCATGTTAGTCGTTTGTCAGCATGTCGTTTTATAATTGACATCACGACCATAATTGCATTTTTGTATTATAGTGCATTAAACACCACACGTAAGGTTGTTTCTTTTCATACGTGGCAGCTTCACAGTCTTAATTATATCTTTGCTGTCACAGAGTGATTAACATTTTAGATAAGAGCAAACAGACCGTGAATAAGGTGTTTGTTTCCTTCTTAAATTCGAGGAAATTATGCACTTTAAAAGTGTGTTAAGAATTATTATTATATGGCTTTGGCTTGTGGCCGATATAACGCGCGCTCTGATTGGTTAATTGTCACTGAATTGTAGGGCA